TGGAACATCTAGTCAATGTATGAAGATAACGAAAAGATAAAAGTTACAGGGGTTGGAAAAGACAAAGTAAAGCTATCATTATCATTACTATAGATTATGATATATCTAGAAAATTCCCAAATAATCCACACATATTTATTGGAATAAATTATCTAGTCAATAGACTCAATGCAATCTACAAAAATACATGATATTTGTATAAATTAACAAAACAGAAAGAAAAACCAAAATAAAATAGCATTTCCAATAATTTCCAAAATATAAAATAATCAGAAACAAATAAAACAAATGATACATAAGACTCTATGCAAAATGATACTATATTACAGAAAGAAGTGAAACATAACTAAATAAAAAGGGGACGATGCCTTTTAAATGAACCCAAATACCTGAGCCATAACTATTGCCTCCAATGGTGCTCATTAATAGGAAGCTGGATGCAGAAAGGGAAGCAGAACTGGAACCAAGTCAACTAATATGGGATATGGGCATTCCAAAAGGCATCTTATCCATTGTGCCAAATACCCACCTTGCAAATCAACTTAAAAAGACAAATAACCTATCAAAAAAGAAACTAAAGAATATCTGGTCTTAAAATAGAATGGAGAATATATTAGCATCTAAAAACAAAATGAAGTGTAAAGGTGACAATACTATGGAGGATGAATGATGGAATTCTCGAAAGGAAATTGACTGAAGATTTGCCATGGATTTCAAAAGACAAATGAGAGGGGAAAAGATGACAAAGGATGCTCCAAGGAGCAGGAAGGAATACCTTCGGCCATGAACAGCCCGGAGAATGGCAATTTGGTAGTACTAGAGTGCAAATGAGTAGAAGGTGGAAGAAAAGAAATCCCAAAGATAAGGACTCTCAGAATGAAAAGCCTTGTATACGTCATGCTCATGAGTCTATCTGGTAGACAATCAGGAACCAACTGTAGTAGAACCTACATTGTAGCACTGTTGTGAGAATTCAGCTGGACTGCATGGTGCCAGCCTGGAGTGGTCTATCAGAGGAAAGCATCGTAATGGTTTAAAACCCAGGCTCTGTCTGAGCCCACTACCAGAGCTCAAATACCAGACCTCCCGTCTCCTTCTTCTAAAACCTAAATAAGTTATTTAATATTTTCATTCTTCACCTTTGAAAGGGGGCTGTTGAGAAGGTAAATGTGTTAATTCATAAAACGTGTCTACTACACTGCCAGGTATGTAGCACTCACTAAACACTAGATATTATTAATATAATTAAGAATTTATTTCTTGTTCACACTAATGAAGTCACATGGTATAACAGGGACAATAGAGCCTTAGAATACAAGTTGAGACACATGAATACCATCAGTTCCTATGGTTACCACACAGTTGGGTAACTGTGGACTTTTGGACTTTGACAATTTCTCTCTGCCTATTTGTAAAAAGACTATGAGGTCATAAATCTCACATTCTTTTTTCTTTATTTCTTTTTCAGTAATTGCTCCAAAATTTCAGCAGACTTAAATATGAGCATCATGACAAAGATTAATTTGTTTTCATGAATATGGATTTTTTAGTAGCACATATTATATTGATATTCAGCCAAATAGCAATGATTTGCCTTTCACATTTCTTTACTTGTTTAAAAATATATCCTGTATTCTAATTCCTGGGAAGATTAAGATGTGATAACTAATAAGAAATTAATACATCCCAAAGGAAAATTTTGGTTTATGAAAGAAAATTGGGGCCGGCGCCACGGCTCAATAGGCTAATCCTCCACCTGCCGTGCTGTCACACCAGGTTCTAGTCCCGGTCAGGGTGCCAGATTCTGTCCCGGCTGCCCCACTTCCAGTCCAGCTCTCTGCTGTGGCCCGGGAGTGCAGTGGAGGATGGCCCAAGTGCTTGGGCCCTGCACCCACATGGGAGACCAGGAGAAGCACCTGGCTCCTGGCTTTGGATCAGTGCAGTGCGCCGGCCGCAGCAGCCATTGTGGGGTGAACCAACAGAAAAGGAAGACCTTTCTCTCTGTCTCTCTCTCTCTCACTGTCCACTCTGCCTGTCAAAAAAAAAAAAAAAAAGGAAAGAAAGAAAGAAAGAAAATGGAGAGTTGCTATATTTTTCTACTTTAAAGCTTTGAGAGGCAACTAATTATTTAATGCCTAGTAATTATGTGACAACAGTTTCAAAATTTTCTTCATTTCTAAAGGAATATTACCATGAGGCTGTCATTATTCCAGCACTGGTGTAGGAAGGGGTGGGGATGAGTAACCGATGGGTGGAGGTTGCAGTGATAAGGAGGAGTATATTATCACGAATTCTGTTTACAATTTCCAGCATGTGCTGTAATAAAAAGCAGACTTCCTCCTAGTCATTCTCATTATTGTTTTAAATTTTTACAGACAAGATACCTCCCACCACTTCCCCCGCACCTTTTGGTCATCACATTTCAGTAGAGGAAATCAATTAGTTTATTATGAAACAAACTATAAATGAGAAAGGCAGTAGGATTTTATTAACATATGTAATATAGTCTCAAATATATCACATATTAGCACTGTAATTCAGAAATCTATGTTAAGGTATTAAAATACATAGATATATACAAACTTGTGAGCATATATTATTTATCCATTTATTTATGGCAGCGAAGAACATTTCCAGTATTAGCAACAGCGATTATTCCTACTCAGAGATTATGGTTAAATTTTATTTCCTTAATCCTTTCCTGTATTCCTCATAATAGACCATTAATATATACAATTTGTGGGCTGGTAAATTGGACTAACTAGAAAGTTTGCTAATAATAATTTTGTAGGTATTTAACCTGTACCATAATTTTTCTACTTTGAAACTTGAGAATGTGTATCTTTCATCTTCTGATACTTAAAGAGTAAAAAGAAAATCCAGACCTTTTCTAAAACATAGGGTATGCAGATAATACCTACATTTCTACAGAATTTTAATTATATAGTACCCATGCATAGAAATGTTTCTTTTTTCTATTTTGATGATTTAACAGAGTGCTTACCACATAGCAAGCACTCAATAAACATGTATCAAATAAACCTATAATACGTGCACACACACACACACACACACGCACTTGAGCCTACAGATATACAAATAAACTTTATCAATTTAAAATCAGATAATTGAAACACATTAAAATAGGTATAATGCCCCCAAAACAAGGACCTTCTTATGATACAGGATTAAGTAGTTATGTTTTCCCTTGGTCTTGCAGTAACTTGAAGCTATCTCCCTTCAAGAAGACATTAAGTCTTCGAGTGAACTTTAGTTGACTCCGGCTTTTGTTAATCATTATTCCAGTGCCTTCTACATTGTTTTCACATTTTCTCTGCAATTTAACTAATCAAAGCAAAATATGACTCTGTCACAGCTCATTGTCTTAATCAAAACCATTTCATGACTTCCACTGGCCAGTTCCACAAAGTTGGATAAAAAGACCTCCACAGTCTGTCCTCAATCTACCTCTTTCAACATCCCTTGCCTTACTCCCCACCTCAGTAGACTTCTTCCACACTCCCTGTGGTCAGAAAATGCCAAGATCTCTATGACATAACTTCTGCTTCTCAAAAAGTATTCATCAAATGTCCTGTTAAAAATGTAACCACCTATGTCACACCTGTTCAGTTTCTTACTGTATGTCTTTCACTCACGTGACCCAACATTAGAAGAATTATTTAATAACTGCCTGTAAAGTTTGCTTGCAAAAGTGATGTTGTGTTCAGCTTCTCAGCAGGGTACATAGTTTACAGTTTTACTATGTTCTAGGTCAGGGTCCAATCAGTCCAGTTCTAATTTCCCACTCTTCACCAGCCAATTGCTTTGCATCTAAATCTTCTCCAAGTATCTTACAACTCTGTCCCATGGGATCAGGACCATTGTTCCAATGTGAACCCTAACTCTGTACTCTAATCTGCAGCCTAGGTCTCCATGGCTAGGGCTATGAATCAATAACCTCAAGGCTGTAGTGAAAGTGACAACCTAAATGCCTCTGTAACTGGGTCTCTGTCCCTCCTTCCTGATCCAACTCTCTGATGCCAACTTCCCCAATGACAATGTCTTCATTCTAATTGCTCAGGCTAAAAATTCTCAGTAGTCTTGTATTTTTCAGATTATTTCATAGCCTATATTATATTATATTCAAAGCACATCAAAATCTAATAATTTAATAGCATCTTATATTTGCTCAATTATCCCCCTACTGTTAATACTGCAGCCATAGGTATTCTTTAAACATATAGAACATTTGAAATTGAACATGCTTCTCTTTTGCTCAAAATTCTCCAGTGGATTCCCAATTTACAAGGAACACAAGTCAAATTCTTTATAATTTTTCATTAGAAACCACAAGGTCTGGCCTCCATGTTACCCTACTGAGTTCATCTTCTCCTCTGCCCCCACCTCCTTTGCTCTGTTGGCTCTAGCAATTGGCCTCTTTGTCATTCCTCAAACAAACAGTCTTGTGCCTACCCAAAAGCTTCCCGTATGTCTGGTCTGTTCAGTGCACAAATTAATAAATACTTCATTCTCTCTTTTCTCGATTTTTGTCGCAGTCAGTTCCTTAAGGCCTACTGTGAACACCCTATTTAAAACTGCAAACTACACCACCATCACTCCTAATTCCCCTTATTCAAGTATGTTTGTGTTTCATTATTTTTCCATAGCACTCTTCATTTTTTATGCTTATTATTTACCTCTCCTCATTTGTATGTGAGTTTTATTTAAAGGCAGGCAGAGATTCTTTGGCATTTCACTCTCATATATTCCCAGAACTTACAACAGTACCCAATATATAGAAGGCACTAGATAAATATTTGCTACATGAGTGAAAGGGCTGGCATATTCCTAACTAGTAGAGCTGGCCAAAGACTGACTGATCTCCTTTATAGCTGGACCCAGTGCAGCCCAAAGGTTAACTTCATCATGTGACTATCCTCCTATTCCCTCTTTAAATTTCTCCTATAGTTGAATCAAGAGAACAAATTTCCTTTCATTACCTCCTAACTAGGTCTTCATTGATGTGTCGCACCTCATCAACTTCTAACTTCTGTCCATTCTAGATGAGTTACTTCTTAATTTTAATAACAACTCCATGATGCTCTTCTGTCTGGTCTGTTTAGAAACCACTGCTCCCACATCTTCAAGGTTATCCACTCTAGATCCTTTCAACCAGGTCTTCTAACAGCTCCATTAATGAATAGTTTCCAGTAAGGATTTTAGTATACTCTGCTGAATGAACTAGACTTATCACAAAGAAGCACATTCTCCAGTAAAATGTGGTTGATAAAAGTGCACATTCCAAAGCGATGCTGTGAAGGTTAATTTAAAGTAATGCTCATAAAGTGCTTAACACAGTGCCTGACGCATAAATGCTTAATAAATATTACCTGCTAATGTTACTAGATGACATCATGTAGATGCATATTCAAAACCGGATGCCAGTTCAAGCCCTGATGCCAAACATTTGTTCAAGATAGTTTGTGAATAACCAGTAAAAAGACACTGATAATTGATATAAACACATATATCATGTAATAAATCTATCATTATGGAAGAACAGGCAGAGTCCTTTAAATACAAAATGCCAATCTGATACACAGTCTCATGATCTCAAAGGGGCTTGCTCCAACAGCAAACATCTGTTACTTTTCACATCTCATTGAGAGGCCAGACAGGTAAAGGGAAGTAATACTTCTTAAGATGCCAAACTAGCTATTTACATATTACTTTAAATAAGTATGTTTACAGTAGGGTCAAGTTCTCTCTTAGCCCATGTGCCTTTCATTTCCTGTTAGGATACCACCTGCCCCCTTCCTGTCTGTTGAGTTATTTTCCTGGCTTAGCCATAGCAATATCTGTGTTTGTAAAAGTGCTAAATTCTATCCATGTGGAATATTGATTTTATTTGGCATTAGAAAACTCAGTATTTTATAATGTTTTATGATGAAAATTAGCTTTGCCATTCCAACAAACTACTAAAGTTGTGTCATAGAAAAATATTACACATATCAATAACTAATTAAATTAGTGCTTAGCTTTTACTTAATCCTGTGAACAGGAAAGAAAATGAGTTAAATATAAATTATTATTTATACATTATATATTAATATATATCAATAATTTATATGGATAAACCTTCAGGGATCTCAAAATACTATATTTGCTCTATAATAAGTAATATTCTCCCAAAGTTCAATAGAAGAATTATACACATCATATGCAGCCTCTAAAAGAATTGTTTCTCAGTCTACTTTGGCAAGAAGAGAATTTAGGAGCAATAAATAGTAGTAATGAAGTACGGAAAATGGTTGAAAGACATGTTCCTTAACCAGATAAATCATATGCACCCCAAAATAACTCATTTTTTAAATTGCTTCTTTCCCACTCTTAATGGATACACAGGACAGTATTGCCAAGGGAATGTCTATAAGTTTACTGTCATGTGTAAGTAACTTTTATAAACCTAAATTCTTTTCTAATTTGCCAATTTTTAACATTTTAAATTTAATTTTAAATTTTAAACAAATTTGAACATTTGTTAACATTAAAAGTCATAAATGATCTTTAAATATTACTTGATAATATACTGCCTGGCACAACATGTGAAATGCTTAAGTTACTGATGATTTTGTGTACAATATGTTTGAAGGCCTTATACAATACTTGCACTTTTTAATATTTTTGCTTTTTTATTTTTTTGCTTCAGCAAAGAAACTAATTTTTGCTTCAGCAAGAAACTAATTTTGACTCAAATTGAAAGAGTGAAACCACTCGCGATGGAATTTGGAAAAGATAAACCTGTTGGCTTGATGCTGATGTTTGCTCCATCTCACACATATCCATGAATCCAGCAAGGCTTGCAGCATCAGCTTGAACCTTGCTGTGGATTTTACTTATTTGAGAGACAGAGTTACAGAGATAAGAGAGGCAGAGAGAGAAGTCTTCCATCAGATGGTTCACTCCCCAAGATGGCTGCAATGGCCAGAGCTGTACCATTCCGAAGCTGGGAGCCAGGAGCTTCTTCTGGGTCTCCCACGTGGCTGCAGGGGCCCAGGGACTTGGGCCATCTTCTACTGCTTTCCCAGGCCACAGCAGAGATCTGGATCAGAAGAGGAGAAGCTGGGACTAGAATCTGCACCCATATGGGATGCCAGCGCTTCAGGCCAAGGCATTAACCTGCTGTGCCACATGCTGGCCCCTTTTTTCTGTATTTGTGTTAAGCACTATTTATTAAAAATTCCATAGATATAAAAAAAGGAATTTGGAAAAGATAGTATAGACATGAAATTCTTAATAAAAATTGGATTATTAGGAAAGAGATGATCCTAGTCTAATAAAGGCACTGATAAACACACCACAGAGTACCTCACAAAGTGTGTGGAGAATGGACTTACAACATATTGGTGCAAGCATTTTTGGAATCCATTCGTAACTTTTACACAATACACATTTCCCATGTACTTTTAGGAGACCACTGGTAAATGTCACTTATCTGAGCAAAACACGGCTGCACCATGATGCAGATGAAACTTACACAATTCAATGTGTCAATATAATAAAACAATATAAAATCATTCATACCATGAATGAATTCATCAAGAGCATAACATATTAAAACAATCTTGAATTCTTACACAGTATCGGATGTCTGCATTAAGTTCTATATTTATAATCTTTCCTTCATGTCTTTCACTAAGTAAATGAAGACACCCAGGGAAGAGCAATGATTTGTTCAATACCACAACTAGTTAATGTGGAGTCCTGGTGTCCAAGTCCCTAATTCATTATCACTTTTATAATATTAGCATTCCCATCATGTGTTCACCTTCTCCTTTACATACATGGGGCAAGCTAGTAGTTAATATTTTTCTGCATTACTAACAACTCCTGAGGCATAACAGACACACCCAGAAATAATGACTCAGGGAGGAACCAAGACCTGAACATGGTGATGTGGTATAGGAATTACTCTGCCCTAATTCTCAATAGATTTTTGCTTATGTGTCTTCTTGATTCCATATTTTGCAAGAGTGAGATTCACATCTCACAAAAGAGGCTAGCCTAGAATTAGGAAACAGAGATGCAAACAATGTTCTGGTTAAACATGTACATATTCAAGATCTTCAGAATTTATAACTTTGTGTACCTCTGAGTGGTTAAAACAAAGTTATTTCAATGAAATATGTTTTTTTAAGTAATTAAAGGAGATGTTTTCATAAGAGGAGTCCACAGTAATTAGGAAAATACACATATATCACCTTGGGAACACTTGTTGAGAGACAAATAATTACCTGGGAAAAGTCTTATCAGACACTATCACACTTTACAAACTTGACCCAAATGTAATTATGTCAACTACATAGTGAAAAACACAAGAGGTTAGAAAAAGAGCCAGTAAATTAAAATATGTCCCTTTAGGGCTTAAGAAAAGTATAATCTAAAATTGGATTTTACCAAAGAAAAATTCTCAAACAAAAGTGCAAGAAAAATCTAGATTTTTAAAATACTATAAAAATCTTATTCTGCCTAACAAAGCAAAATGACTCAGGGATTTTATAACTTAAACTATAAACAAAAGCATGTAGTAGTAAAGTTAAAAATATTTCAAAATTTTATAGGCAAGACAGATGTGATATAGTATCATTTTAAATTCTTTTCTCAAGGGACTCCAAGGTTAGCTTGGTATTATGATCAGACTAAATACGTGGAACTCCAAGCAGATTGTGTTTAGATTCTTTTCATTAATTTATGATTTTTTCAATAATATGGCATTTATTTTCCTAAGTACTGTATCTAATTGCACACAGAACAGTGAACTAGATTTAAATTCACTTATGAGAAACCTTCTGGGTCCTGCTTTTCTGGTTCCTAGTCCTGCCTGTTTGGCTTCATATCTGCACAAAGTTTTACAATGCTGATTACCAAAAGCACGTCCCTGAGAAATTTGGAGACAAGAAACTTTATTTTATCCACTAAAATATCTATTACCGAACATTTTATGTTAAAAGAGATCACTCCCTTTATAATACCATGACAATTCACTGAGCTACCAATTAAGAGGGTTTAGTCTCTAAAACACTTTATAAAACAGAAAGTTTATCCTGATGACGAATAGGCTTCCACTGACTGTGCAGAATAATAAGAAAGTGACTTAGCTTTTGAGTAAACGATAGTTGTGAAAACCACACTTAATCTTTAAAATGCAATGTGTTCTGACAGGCTTTTATTTCATAACATTTGCTCTTATTCTTTTAAAACTTTTCACAAGACCTTGTCCAATTACAGGATAAATAATTCTATTAAATGAAGTCAATAGCTTTTTCCTGAATCTTGCAAAAATCTTTACACTGACATATGAAGAAACTTACAAAATATTTATTAAATACACATTTCATGCACATATAGCCAATTTGATGTCAATACTTGTTGCGCCTGGGTAAAACTTAGAACACTCCCCAATGGTTTCGAAATAACGGCAACAAAGTTATCTGCTATGATTTATACTCAACTGTAATTCACTCAGTTTTATAAGATCAAATAACACTCTTTGTTTGAGTTCAACTTGAATAAGGGAAAAATTGTATTTCTTACTGTCTACCACTTTGATTTTATGGAGGGGAAACAGGACATTATATTGCTTTATGGTTTGGACTTTAATTTCCTCAGAATGTTAATTTAGGTGGGAGTTTCCAGCCAACAATGACCAGGGAGAGTATATTACTTTGTCTCATTAGATACCCAGCTGTCATATTAGGAAGAAAAATACACCAAGGGATAAAATTAATGTTCGGTTGCCAGTGAGTGTCAGGCCCCAAATTTATGATATCTCCTGAATTATATCTATTTTGTATCACAGAAATGCAATCTAGCTATGGTGTAGGCTGATGATTATGTAACTATTGAGTCACCACAATAGCAACCCCAATCTTCACAAATGCATTTCTAAATTTTCCTTTAACACTACCCAACAGCATATCAAGTCCCCAACCAGAAATTAGCAAATGTTAATATATTTGTTGCTTTTACAAGTACTCATACATATTCTTGAATTTTGTTTTGTTGTTTTATACAGCATTAAAATTGCTCAGAGAACAGGATAGTATAATTTCAAATGCTCATTTCAGAAAATTCTATTGAGTTTTTTTGAGGACTGAAATTTAGAAAAGTTGAATACTCAATTTTTTTGAATACTCAAATTCAGAAAATTTGAATATTCAGTTCAAAAAGCTGAACTGACAATTCAGCTCATCAGTAAGTTTGGTTGCCTACTGTGTTCCTGATTCTGTATCTAACTTTGCACCTTTCTAAATGTTTATTTATTTGTTTTTATTTGAAAGGCAGAAATAGCCAGTGCAAGAGCAAGAGCAAGAGAGAGAGGGAGGGAAAGGTCTTCCATCTATTGGTTCCTTCCCCAAACGCTGGACCAGATCGAAGTTAGGAGCCCTGGAACTTCATCCAGTTCTCTCATATGGGTGGCAGAAATTCAAGTAATTGAGCCATCATCTTTTTCCACCAGTGTAAAGCTGAATCAGAAGCAGACTATACAGGACTTGAACCAGGCACTCCAATAAGAAATGTGGGAGTTCCAGGCAGTGGCTCTACCTGCTGCACCATAATTTTTTAAAAAAACTGGAATAGAATAGTACTTCCTTCAGCAATATCCTGCTAACGAAATTAGAGCTAAAACATCAGATCATTGCATT